TTGGAGGCCATGTGTTGTTAATATATACAATTACAACAGAACTATATAAGTATATACGACAGAAGTAGGTAAGAAAAGCAAGTGTGTGCATGGGGGGGCAGTTGGGAGAAACGTGGTGGGGAAGCTGCTGATGTAGGCTGCAGGTAAGTCAATGCAGGCTTTTGTCAGGGTTCTAGCCTCGGTGCGGACCATACCAGCAGCAACTCATCAGAAGGGAGGAGGGGTCCTTGCCTAGAGACTGGAAGAACGTTATAAAATGAGGGTTTTCATGAACACCCGAGGGCCCGGCACAGTGACTCAGTGACTAAATCCTCACCTTGCAAACGCTGCAATCCTTTACAGGCATCAGTTTGTGTCCTGGCTGCTCCACTTCCCACCCAGCTCCCTGCTTGTGGGAAAGCAGTCGAGGACGGCCCAAAGCCTTGGGACCCTGCACCCGCATGGGGGAGACCCGGAAGCAGCTCCTGGCTCCTGGCTTTAGATTGACTCAGCTCTGGCCACTGGGGCCACTTGGGGAGTGAACCAGTGGATGGACGATCTTTCTCTCTGTATCTCCTTTTCTCTGTAAATTTGCCTTTCCAATAGATTACATCTTAAAAAAAAGAAACAACAGCAAAAAAAAAAAAAAAAAAATATGTACACCTGACGTTCAAAGTGCCAGTGGTGCTTCTAGTCCCGAGATTCAGATCCCCAAGGGCTTTCCAGGGCCGGGGCTGCCGTACCCCCCGCTGGCCGCCAGAGGGCAGGCCCTGACAGGAGAGAGGGTCCTTGGCGGGGCCAGTGGCACCTGTGCCGCCTGTTTTGTTTAGGCCATAGGAACGCTGCACCAGGCTTGGGGCAGTGGCCGCAGCCGCGAGCTGGCACAGCTGCTTGCCCGGGGGTGGGCTGAGGGGAAGGGTGTCCCAAGAGAGGGCCTTCTTCCCACTCGCTGCCTCCAGCCACCGCACAGCCTGGGTGCCCCCTGGCCACAACCCTGACTTTCTTTCACTGGCCAGCTGGTGAGTTTGGTCACATGCGGGGTCAGACCTGTGTCCAGGGTGGTCTCAGTGGCCGCTGCTGAGAACCGAGCCTGTGAGCACACTTCCCACGACAATGCTTCCCTCTGCACGGGCTTAGGCAGTTAGGGCAGGATGAGGCTCGCCGCAGTTTTCCGTGTAGTTTTCTGTTACTGCTGTGGACAGTAAGCACACCCCTCTACCCACCAGTCGTCTCAGCCTTCCTCAGGTCCTCCCGGTGGACAGGTGCTAAGCGGGCAGGCTTTGGCCTTGGGGGGAAGCCCCTCTGGGTGGCAGACAGCTCCCCAGCCCTTCCCAGGCACCTGCTCTCCTAAGCACAGGGATTTCCCAACTTTGGCTTAGAGCAGAAAATTCCCCATCCTCAACCCATCATCCATGAAACTGCGCCATGTAAATGAGGGAGCGGGGTGACTGTGCATGGCTGATGTCTGGCTGTGCCCTTGCTTGCTCATTCCAGGCGCCTGGCAGAGCAGCGGGGTTGATGTGAGAAGCACGTAGTCAGGAGGGATAAGGAAGCTGTGGCTGTGGCCTCATGTTCAGATGACTTTCTGTCTTCCATCTGGCTTGCTGGCAGAGCTTGGGGGCGGATTGACATAATTTTTTTCACCCCCGTTTTGGTTTTACTTGAAGTACACAGAGAACCCGTCTGCTGGTTCACTCCGGAAATGGCTGCCAGTGAGCCAGGAATGGGTCAGCTGTAGCTAGGAGCCAGGACGGGACGCTGTGCTGGGCGCCACAGGAGTGGAAGGCACCTAACTATACTTGCGGCCGTGCTGCTCCCCAGGTGTGTGTTAGCAGGAAACGGGATTGAAAGCAGAAGGGCTGGGACGCAAACCAGGCGCTGTGACCCGGGATGTGGGCATCTCAGGAGGGCCCCCACCTTGTGGCAGGATATTCAGCACCTGGCTGTGCCCGCCCCGTCCTGGCCTTCACCTCAAGCAGGCGGGGCACAGGTGCTGTGGGGGCAGGCTCTGGGCCTGCACAGGGTACGTCTCCCTCTCCCTGATGTTTCCTGTTTGTTGGGATGGCTGGGAGAGGAGGTTGAAAGATGTTCGCTTGAACTTGAACTTCGACACAGTCAGGTGTTGGTGAGCCCCGAAGCACCCCCTGGGAGTTCACAGGATGCAGCAGAAACCGCCACAGGCTGGGGGGCAGGGGCGGGGAAGTGGTGGCTGCTGGGGAGGCCCCCCAGCAAGTCCTCCTGTGTTTCCATGGCAACTGGACAGGGGGCCTGGGAGCTTGCCGGGAAGGGGAGTCCCGGGCGTGGTCCTTCACCCTCACCTCTGCCCTCTACCTGGGATGGTAGCCAGGCTGGTGACCCAGGAGGTTGCTGGGCCCAGCCGCTGTCCCAGGCCCAGGTGCAAAGCCCAGCTCCTTCGCCCACTTCATGTTCATTCCCCATCATCTTTGGTGGAGCTCTGCTGGCCGTAGCCTGCTTGTGAGGCTCTCAGGGGCAGGAGGCTCTGTGGCCGTGGGCCACAGCCACGGAAGCTTCCTCCAGGCCCCACCAGCTGCAGGCTCCACACTGGAGGGAGGGGCAGGCAGCACCTTGCTGCCCATGCAGGAGGGGTGGTCCCGGCCCAGGGGGGGCTGCATCTCCTAGAGCTCCTTGTGCCCACAGATGCCAGCACCAGGAGCCTCAGGCTGCCGTAATGGGCCAGAGGAGCTGCTGGTCCCTAGGGAAGGCCCCTTGACTCCCTTCTCTCCCACCTTTGCTCAAGTCCACCTGTGACTGCCCCTCCCTCCTGCCACCTGCTGGAGGTGGATGCTGTGCCAGGCCACTGGGCGGGGCTAAGCTGCCTTGGGCCTCAGCCTGAGGCTGCAGGCCTCACACTGGCAGAGGCAGAGCTATGGGACTCTCCTGCTTCAGCTTGGGTCTAATGTTTGTCCTTTCAGCACCTGGGGTCCTGCATTGCTTTTTGTCCACCCCCCATCCCCCCTTGCCTCAAATCACCATCGGGTACATACCACGTTAAATTCCTCATTTTTTAGGTAAGCCATCTATTTTTAGGGGTGCGGTGCAGAGGCATGAAGTACACCCAGCTTGTCATGCTCTCTGCCTCACCTTCCTCAATTGCACTGCACTCTCCACCACTGCCGCCCAGACCCAGCAGCCACCATGCTGCTTCCCATCCCTATGACCTTGACAGGAAGTCCTGCAGTGCCTAGCTGGACCACCTGTGGGCCCCTGCCTTCCAGGCTGCCGAACTCTGGCGGCTGCTCTTCAGCAAGGGTCTCTGGCTCGCTCCAGAGCTGCCCAGGCTGCAAAGACCCGAGGGTGCTGGCCCTGAGCGACTGAGGCAGTAGGAGCTGGAGCAGCGGTGGGTCTGAAACCCACTGCTGACCTTGGCCCGTGGGCAGCCCAGAGTCCACTGCCCCAGGCTGCGAGTCAGGGAGCCGGCTTCTGGGAGGATCTGACTGCTATGACATGGCCCGGGTCCCTGGAGTCACCCGGCCCAGTCTTACAAGTGTTTCCGAGCTGCCCTGAGCCCAGGGTTTTGTTGAAAACTGCCTTGATTCCCCACTCCCACTCCCCCAAGCCTGCAGATGAACTCAGGGTCCGGCGGCTCTGGAAGTCCGCGAGTCGCCGTTGGCGACGAGCACCTGCTCTGTTTGTCCTTCTGATGCCACTCTGAGTGGCTTGGGATGCCCGTGTCCCACACTGGGGGGCCTGAAGTCAAGTCTCAACTCTGCCACCCCCATCCTGTTCCCACCCTGCTGGTGTTGCAGGTTCTGGGAGGCGGCCCATGTTGGGTCCCTGACACCCATATGGAAGACCTGGGACTGCGTTCCTAGAGCCCGCTCTTTTATAGGTGCTTAGAGGAAATGAGCCAGCAGCTGGGAGAGCCAGCCACATGCCTGCCTTTTAGAGTAAAACAGAGCTCAGGCTCTCAAGCCCTCTGGCCCTTCTGTAAATGAAAGCTGGGACCTCAGTGTGCGGCCGTGTTCCTGGCCACCAGGAGGGTCGCAGGCAGGCCGGCTGGCAGCCCCATCCCAGATCAACTGCCTCCTAACCCCATCTTCCTGCCACCCTCCTTGGTTCTGTTTAGTTACCCCATGCTGCAGGGAAGGACAGGGTCTCTCGGGTGGCTCCTACTGGCTGTCCCCTCCCTTTCTGTCCTCCCCAGAGAGTCACCTACCTCCTGTGCTCCTGGGGCAGAGGGGACCATCCTGGAGCTGCTTGGGCCAGCGCTAGCGGCCCCGACCCTGAACTGCAAAGCCGCAGATGCAGCCATACAGGGGCCTCCAGGCTTGGAGACAGAGGCAGGATGGGGCCAGGAGCTCAGTGGAGCAAGAGAGGCCACCATCTCCAAGGGGGTGCCACCACTTCCTTTCCTGGGTGTGTCTTGCTCACTGTTCCACATGCCCCGCTGGTGGCCCTGGCATGGGGCTGTGGGAGCTCAGGCCCAGGAGGGTCGTCACATGGGCACACCTGCAGCTCCTGCCAGAGCCCGTTGCAAACACAGTGAGTGGGAAGTGCAGCCCAGGACATGAACAGAAAGGCAGTGCCCACAGGGCTGGTGCCATCTGCGTCGCCTGCGCCCACAGAGGAGCGCCTGGTTCATGTCCCAGCTGCCATGCTTCAGTTCCGGCTTCCTGCTAAATGGGTGTGGAGCAGCTGCCAGGGCTCAGGCACTTGGGAGACCCAGCGAGATGGGAGTCCCAGGCCTTCGGCTTTGGCCTGGCTCAGCCGTGGGTTCTTGTGGACATTGGGGAATTGAACCAGCAGGTGGAAGAGCTCTGTCTGGCTTTCAAATTTAATAATTTTTAAAACCCTGCATGTTTACCAAAACCCTAAAGCCCAACCCATGACCATCACAAGGGAGAAGACAGTGGGAGTGTGACGGGTTAGCAAGGTGGGTACCTGGGGTTGTGTGTGCTGGATAACTCGTCCCTGGCCAGGCCGCCTTCTACAGACTTCTTCCGGTTGCTTAAGAAATCTTCTGCCATGGGCCAAGTCAGTATTTTATTTTTAAAAAACAAAACAAAACAAAAAACACAATGAAAAACACATCAAGTCCACAAATACAGAGACAAGGAAAGGAGTTGAGACGTCTTTGTGTGGGTAGGCAGGCCACACTGCACGCCTCACTCCTGGCCCAGGTGAGTTCGGGCCTGGGGTCCAGCCGGAGGGACCAGGGCTTTCACAGGAGGATTTCCTGCCTCTAAGGCCTGCGGAGGAGACTAGGGGCCTGTCGGATGCCCCAGGATCCCTGTGCTGTTGGCACTCCGAGGTGGGAGTGAGGACAGTGGATTTCCATGGGAATGTTCTCCAGCGGCTCCGGCCAGCGGAGGAGGAAGCTGCAGGTCCAGCTCCCTGGCACCTGCCGGCCCGGCTAGGAGTTGAGCACAGGAACTGTCCAGAAGTCTTGCCTGGGGCTGCCAGACCTCCTGGCTGCTGGCCACACGTGCTGCAGAGCCCCCAGTGCGGGGGCTTGTGGTCTTGTCAGACAGCTGGATCTTTGGAAAGAGAACAGCCAACTCAGCACAGCTTCGAGCCCACCACCTCCCACGCCAGCCAGCTTCCCCTGGGGTCCCTGTACCTGTCAACCTGGGACCTCTGCCTCCCTGCTTCCTATCCAGTTCCCTGCTACTGCGCGTGGGAAGGAAGCGAAGGGTGACTCGAGGACCTGGACCTCTGCCACCCACATTGGAGGCTTGGAAGGAGCTCCTGGCTCCTGGCTTTGACCTGACCTAGTCCTGAATGCTGCTGGCATTGAACCAGCAGATGGAAGATTTTTCTGTCTACCTTCCAAATAAATAAAAATTGGACAAAAAATACATATATTTTTAAAATTAAGCATCCGATTTAAGGTTGGTCTTAGTGGTTAAGACCAGGGTGAGGTTTCTGCTTGGGAGGGCCCATGTCTCCTAGCAGGGGCCTGGGTGTTGGCTCCAATTCCACTCCCCGTCCACCTTGCTGCTCCCTGCCAGCCTTGGGGAGCTGAGTTCCCAGCTCCTGGCCTTGCCTAGGCTGTTGTGGATGTTTTGAGGGGAGAATCAGAGAATTGGACACTTCTCTGCCACTGTTTCTTTGTCTTGCCAACAAAAATGCGTAAGAATGAAAGAAAAATGATAAAGAATTGTTCAAGACAATGGGAGACCGTCTGATGAGGGCTGAGTAGGAGAAATCCATCAAGTTACGGATGGACACCCCATCAGAGAACACCCCGTGGGGACCCGCATCATGGCGCTGTGGGTTAGGACGCTGTGTGCGATACAGGCATCCCATATTTGTGCAGGGATGCGTCCTGGCTGCAGGGAACAGGCGTGGCAAGGCAGCAGTGAATAGCTCAGATGCCTGGGTCTTGGCTGCCCACATGGGAGTCCTTGGTTCAGGGCTTCAGCGTAGTTCAGCCATGGCTGTTACAGTCATGTGGGGAGTAAACTAGCGGATGGAGGATCTCTCTCTCTCGCTCTGTCACTCGGCCTTCACAATCAATCAGTCTTTGAAAATAACAGTGAGGCAACATGTGTGTCTGTTTTTCAAAGAGGAACTGCCAGGAGGCCAGACACTCAGGTGCTCTTTCTGTGTAGGGTTTTTAATAAAAATATATATACATTTTTTTCTTTGTTTTACTCTTGTCTTTGGCAATGTTATTCTATGTTATTTTATTTTTACTGGAAAGTCAGATATATAGAGGCAAGGAGAGACAGAGGAAGATCTTCCATCTGTTGATTCACTCCCCAAGCGGCTGCAATGGCCATAGCTGTGCCAGTGTGAAGCCAGGCACCTGTAGCCTCCTCCAGGTCTCCCGTGCAGGTGCAGGTTCCCAAGGCCTTGGGCCATCCTTGACTGCTTTCCCAGGCCACAAGCAGGGAGCTGGATGGGAAGCAGGGCCTCCAGGATTAGAACCGGCACCCATATGGGATCCCAGCGCGTGCAAGGCGAGGACTTTAGCTGCTGGGCTAGGGCACCAGGCCTTGTTTTTGGCAATCTTAAAGAAAACTCCAGAGAGGCCTTCAGAGGCTGAGCTGTCAGTGCCCCCCACACAGGGCACTCCCTCATCCCCCAGTGTGAGGAGGTGGGACCAGGGCAGGGTCCACTGTCCTGCGCTCACACAGCAAGGGGGGGTTGGTCCCTCCGTGTGCATGTGACACCCCCAAGTGCAGTACACCTGCACAGACTCAGCTCACCTGTGGACTGCAGCACACAGGAGATCTTGTAGGACAGCCACACGCTGGCTGTACACAGGAAGGTGGCCATGAAGCCGAAGACCTGAAATGGAAGGGAGGTGCATTGGCTGCCCTGTCTCTCTTTGCTGCTGTTTGCTGTCTTTCCTGGCTGTGGCCAGAAGCTGGGAGGGAGCACGGTGGTTGTAGAACCTGACCAGTTCATCCTTGCATAAAGGAAACCCCAAGGGGCAGGCGCCCTGCATGGGGACAGGTTGGGCCAGCCGCCAGACCCGAGTCTCAACCCTTGGCCCTTGTCTCTCTTGGCCAGGCCAGTGCCCAGGCTTGGGTGTAGAGCTGAGTTGGGGCCAATTTAAGTTTCAACATCCCAGACTAACCAGAAAGAAAAACATGGAAGGAAGGAAGAAGGGAGGGAGGGGAAGATAGAGGGAGGGAGGGACAGTACGTTCAACTACTGTTTCCAATGCTGAAAGCCCATCTGGCTACCAGTTCAAGTCCCAGCTGCTCCACTTCTGACCCAGCGCCCTGCTAATACACCTGAGAAAGCAGCAGCAGATTGTCCAAAAATAGTTAAGGCGCTGCCACCGATACACGAGAGCCAGATGGAGCTCCTGGCTTCAGCTTGGTCCAGTCTGGCTGTTGAGGCTCTTCGGGGAATGAACCAGAGCGTGGCAGAACTCTGTTGCTCTGCCTTTCAAATCAGTCAGTCTGAGGAAGAAAAAGGAGGGATTCTACATTTTTAATGTTCAGAAATGGGCATGTGGCACAGCAGTTGAGGTGGCACAGCAATTGAGATGCCACGTGGGACTGCTGCTGCACGAGTCCTTGTCCGAGTCCCGCCTCTGCTTCTGATCTAGCTTCCTGTTTACACACACCCTGGGAGACGCAGGTGATGGCTCAAGTCCCTGGGTCCCTGGCACCCATGTGGGAGACGTGGATAGAACCACCTGGCTGTGGTCTGATCCAGTTCATGCTACTGGGGGCATCTGGGAAGTGACCCAACAGATGGGAACTCTTCTGCCTTTCAGAACAAGTAACCATTTTTCTCCATGTTCAAATGGGTTTTATTGGCATGGCAGCATGGTTCACATCTCTATCCTGGCCTGATCCTGGAGTTGTGTGAGAACCCAAAGCCGGGCCTCTCTTAGTTCTGTGGTTACACAGATTTGCATAGTAGGAGGCAAAAAAAAAAGTTGAGGCACTGTTCTTGCCCTGTCTCAGGTCTGCCCAGAGCTTAAGTACAAGGGCAGCTGGCCTAGTCCAGTTCGGCCTGGCCCAGCCCAGCCCAGCCCAGCCTGGCCTGGCTTCCTCACACATAGAAGAAAAGGGTGTTTGGGGAGGCACAGACAGACACAGGAGTCTTGGGGACCTGGTGGCCAGCACTTCCTTTCCTTGTAGTGCCCATGAGCAGCCGGAGAGCAGCTAGGCCCTCCGAGTGTGCACTGTGTGCCCGCGGATGCTGTGTGCATCCCGTGCTCTCACAACTGTGCAAGGTGGGCGCTGACTGCCCAGCCCCCTGCACTGGCAGCCAAGCCGACAGAGGCCCACAGGCTGCCTAGGTCCACGCGGCAGCCAGAGCAGGGAGGAGTCACACCCAGAGGCATCTGGGTCGCCAGTGCCACCACCCGCCCTTGTGTGACTGACGCCTACAAGAGAAGGCTTTGAATAGCTGTCGGGAGGGGAAGGTCAGCTACACGTCCAGCTCCTTACCTCAAGTCAGCCTGCTGGGTGACACAGCAGCTGCTCCTGGTGTCCCACACCCATCCTTCCCTAACAGCATCCTCTTCCTCCTTGGTTCCTTGGGTACCAATGCTCTGGGACACAGGGTTGGTGTGGGCAGTCTGTCAGCCAGTCCTGACCCCATGCGGCCCAGTTAGTACCCTGTTCACCAGCCCGTTATCCAGCTGTCTGCGCTGCATAATTGAACAGCCCATTTCTGCATTGCTACATCATGCGACAGCAGATGGCAATGCGCTGTGTGTTCATGGTTGCATGTGCCCTGCCCTCATCTCCTAAGTGTGTGTGTGGGGGGGACCATGTTCTCACAAGGAAGGGGCTGCATCTCCCAGTCTCCGCACAGCCCAGCTGTGGTCTCCTGCACAAAGGACCTGCAGGACCAGCGTGAGCTGCGGGGATCCCAGGGTTGCCTGCGGTTCCGGGCAACTTGAGCTGCGAGTGGGAGTCTTCATGCGTGGGCTCTGAAACACAATGGGCAGGGGTTTCCCCATGCCTCCCCCCTCCCCACCACCCCACCGCCCGCCCTGTCACCTGCGGGTGGTGGGGGATGGAGGGGGGCTGTGGGGAGGGAGGTATACTAGGGCCATCAGCATTCGGGCGTTTAGACGCCCTGCACAGTGACACTCGGCCACATGGCTGTCCCAGTGCCAGCCTGGCGAGGGACAGACTGATCCCTCAGTGGAATTCCAAGGAGCTGATCTGCTCCAGGGCCAAAGTCTGTAGGATTTTGCTAGTGTGCTACTGAAAACTCACTTTAAAGTTCCTGCTTGCTTGCCAGTGAAGCACATCAGTAGCGGGCCACAGGCACTGAACCGTGCACGGTGAGTGAAATCAGAAACCAGGGGCGGGTGTTGGGCCTGGTGGTTAGGCCCCTGCTGGGGACACGTGCGGCCTGACCCGAGCTCCCGTGTTTGAGTCCCAGTGCCAGCTCCCAGCTTCCTGCCAGTGCAGACTGTGGGAAGCAGCAGGGCAGGTTGGCTCAAGTGGCTGAGTCCCTGCCACACAGGTGGGAGACCCAGCTCTAAGTGCCTGGCACACAGCCCGGGTCCAGCCTAGGCATGGCGGCTGCAGACACTGGGGGGTGGACGAATCAGTGGATGGAAGCATGGCAGACCTCTTAACAAAAGACAGTTACAGGATGGCTGGGCTGCGTATCCTTAAAACATAATGCATAACATACATCTCCTACATGTATATGCACAAAAGCAGTGTCTGCATGTATTTTTGTTCATGTCAGTCTACCCATGTTCATGGTTACTGCAGCATGGACCAGGTTGCACCTCTGACCCGTGCAGGAGTCTTATTTTATGGCTCGGCTATTGTTAAAAATCACGAATGGCAAAGGTAGGACAGTTCGGAGTTCCTCTTTCCTGGGGCGCACAGGGGGCCCCTGCTTTTTTTTTTGAGCAGCTAGCTGCAGGCAAATGCTCAGTGTGGGTATGTGGCTTTCAGCCCACTTCCCCCGCAACTGAAGTCATGCCTGTCACAGACGGGCCAGGGCCACTCAGATTCACCCCCAGCCCTGACGATCCACATGGTGGGGGCCCTCTGCCATGCGCCCCCAAGCTTTAGGTTCCTTGGCTGGGTGTGCAGAGGTGTGCACTGTGCAAAGAAAGACAACTCCAGAGAGCAGACCTCCCAGCTCTACCCCCCAGTAGGATGAGGAGGAGCCAGCATGTTAGGACCCCTGAGGTCCCCCAGGGGTACAGCCTCACCGTTCCAGCCACCAGGCTGCTGTGGCTGTCCCTCCTGGAGGCGACCACGATACAGGCGATGAGGAGGAGCAGGGTGCCAATTAAATAGTGCAGGAGTTCCTGGGGGTGAGAAGAAGGCACACAAGTCAGGGAGGGGCTCAGCTGCCAGCGCAGAGGAAGGCCGACAATGCTGCCGCCAGGGGCTCGGCACAGCTCGCAGCAAGCAGGAAGAGGCCGTGCGAGGGAGAGGCGAGGCCAGGCAACAGAGCTGCTGGCAGACCGGCCGGACCTCTGGCTGAGCAGCGCCTGGCAAAACCCGGGCTGTAGGGTTGAATCGCAGTAGTGGAGCCAGCAGCTCCCGCAGCATCTGAGGGACAGGGGCACCTCTCCCTTCTGCTCCACAGGAAGTTCCGGGCTGCCCAGCACTTCTGTGGGTGTAGGGCCCAGGGCTCGTGCCTCCTGCTCTGTTCTCATGCTGAGGCTTCCTGTCTTCTTTGAGCCCGGCTAAGGCCACGCTCCCTGCCCAGGAGGCTGCCAGCACGGCTGGCTTTCTCTCACCTGGGTCTACTGCCATCCTGGCCACCCCTTCCACTGCCCGTGATGGAAATAGGCTGAGCTCGGCTATGTCAGAAGCAGCTGGAGGCTTCGGGTCAGGTCCTTGTCCCCTGCCATGCCTCGTTAAACAACAGGTAAGGCAGGGGAGGGCAGGGCCCATCCCAGCCCCCACCCTGAATACAGACAGCATCCATTGTTAGGTGGGAATCACTCGTGCAGGAAGTTCTGTCCCACACAACAGGCAGCTAGGAAGTGTTGGAAAAGCTTCGGTCTTTCCAAGCCCTGTGGCATCACAGACCTGCTCCCCTCACTCCTTCCTCCCACCCTTCCATATACCACCTCAAAGCAGTATGACCAGGGGTGGGCCCTGGAGAGTCCCACCAAGCAGCGGGTTCAGCATGGGACAGGCCCCTCCCAGCAGGGAAGAGAGCAGGGGTGAGCACTGTGGTATTGTGGGTTAATCTGATGTCTGCACTGCAGGTGTCCCATCTGGGCAACGGTTCTAGTCCTGAGGGCTCTTCTTCCGGTCCAGCTCCCTGGTGATGGGCCTGGAAGATCTCTGAGACTCCCCGCTCCCTCTCTGCCATTCTATCATTCAACTAAATAAATCCCCCTTAAAGCAAAAGGTCAGATAATAACAGATATTAGCAGGGGTATGAAGAAACTGGAATCCTCATACACTGTCCAGAAAAGAAAATGGTACAACCATTTTGTCCCGAAGTCCTCCTCCAAGGCCAGGACATACCAGCACTGCTGCGGAAGTCCCAGCCCTTGAGTTTGGGAAATCCAGAGGCCACGGGCAGAGATGCAAGGTGGAGGCTGTCAGGAGGGTTAGAGTCACAGAAGGGGCAGGCTGGGATTGTCATGGGATGCCTGGGCTGGCAGCGCCCTTACCGACAGGGGCCAGCTGATACAGGTGAGCACTCGGTGGAGGCGGAAGAGGTAGACCAGGTAGAAGGCCAGTATCATGATCAAGTCGCACATGGTGACCACTTCAAAGAAATTGTAGGCACTGTAGTGGGTCCCAGGGGAGCTCCGCACGCACAGGAAGGCAATGAGCAGAGTGACCTGAAATACAAATCACGCCACCAGCATCAGAACAAGGCGCGCTCACGGTGGACGCACCCGGACCCCACCGCAAGACCCCTGCGGCCAGTGGGAAAGGACACACACACACACGGCTCCGACTCGGGTCATTTCTGTGCAAGTTGGAACCGTGTGATGCCCTGTGCCATGGACTCCTTTAAACTCTGTGCCGCCTGTGAATGCTGCAGCCACCAGCGGCATCCTGCAAAGCTGGTTATATTGCGCCAGTGGGGACGCCTCCCCAGGGCACAGAAAGAGACCACGTGGAGCCCTCCCGTTTACGTGCCTGTCCTCCACGGGGCGAAGGCTGGAGCTCGGCGTGACGCTGGGCCTCGGGGTTCCCCAGCAGGGCTGTGAGCCTAGTTTCCCACCACTCAGACCCACACAATGTAGCCTCCTCAGTTCAAGGAGGCCCCTCGGAACTCTGCCAGGCAGACATTCCTGTCCCCGCTCCACTTCTGACCCAGCCTCCAGCTAACGTGCACCTGGGAGGCAGCAGATAGTGGCTCAAGTCCTGCTGCCCACGTGGACAGCCAGACTGAGTTGCACGTACCAGGCTCCGTGCCACCACTGGCTGGTGCAGGAGTGAACAAATGCAAGGAAGATCTGTTTCTCTGTCTTGCAAAGAAAATGAAAAAGATTTTTAAAATACTCCAAAGGAAGGCACGCTTGCTTACTGCTGGGCAGAGACAACTCGCACCCAATTATTGTGAGAATAGATGAGTTCAAGTGCAGATTCAAGGCCTTCCTGTTGAAGCTAACGGGCCATGAAAATGTTCCTGGTAGGACATGTGCCCACATGCACGTGTGCACACAGACACACACACATACACACACTGGCTGTTTTCTGAAATCCATACATAGACTTTTACACTATGCATTCCCACTTTTTTTTTTTTAAAGATTTGTTATATTTGAAAGTCAGAGTTAGAGAGACAGAGAGACCTACCCACTGGTTCACTCCTCAAATGAGCACATGACCAGAGCTGGGCTGATCTGAAACCAGGAGCCATATGTCTGTGCTGGCTCTCCCGTGTCAGTACAGGGGACCAAGCATTCTTTATTGCTTTTCTAGGATACAGGCAGGCAGCTGGATCAGAAATGGGTCAGCTAGGATTCGAGCCAGTGTCAATATGGGATGCTGGCACTGTGGGCAGAGGATTAGACTTACAACCCTGCCAGTCCCTGCACCAACTTTTGGAAGATGGCAGATACAAGAGTGGTCCTCATAGTGAGTGTGACTTTGTGTCCCATAGGACTTTTGGCAGTGTTTAGATTCACAGTGGGTGTAACGAGTGGGGATTTCATGTTGGCTTTTCAAGAAGGTAGAGCAGGAAGGGGCTGCTGGACACCCCACAGGCCTAGGACCGCTGCCAGAGGATGCCAGCACCTGACCCCACTGTGGCTCCCATAATGTCAGGAAGGAGAATTTAATCCCAATACGAATCTGGTTCCGGTGACGGCAGTCAAGGCTGAATACAGTCTTAGTGCATAAAAGCTTCCAGTCCCATCCGGCACCCACTCCAGATCCTCAGGGACAAACACAACAGCCAGCAAAGAAACTCCCACAGCAAGCGGGGCAAAGGGCCCGAAGGGCACGCTGCCCAACGGGAGGAGGGCGGGGTGAGCTCCAGATGCCCTGCCACCCCCACGGCTGCCCATTTCCCTTTTTAAGGGAGCAGCGTGAGTATTCTCATGTTCTCAGTTCCCCCTGGAGCCAGCCAGCTATGGTGGCAAAGCCTTCTGTTGCTTCACAGAGCTGCAAGGGAGTCAGGCTTTGGTAGTCCAATCAGTCCAGCTGGGCAGGCCTTTTTGATAGGCCTTGGGTGTGGGTCTGCCCACTCCCATGCTGACACTGACACTCTTCTGCAGTGGGGCCAAATATTGAGTGCATGCTACTGTGATATTGCAAGTTAACCCTCTGCCAGTGGTGCCAGCATCCCACATGGGCAGCACTCTGTCCCAGTTGCTCCATTTCTGAAGCAGCTATCTGCTAATGTGCCTGGGAAAGCAGCGCAGGATGGCTCAAGCCTTGGGACCCTGCTCCCATGTTGGAAACCTGGAGGAAGCTTCTAGATCCTGGCTTTGGATCAGCTCAGCTTCAGCCATTGTAGCCTTGTGGGAAGTGAACCAGAAGATGGATGATCTCTCTCTGAGTATCTTCTAACTCTTTCAAAAAAAAAAAATCTCTAATAAGAAAAAAAATAATAATTATTTCATTCCTTTGCAAAGAGGGAGGGACAGACAGAAAGAGATATCCCATCCCACTGATTTTACTCCCTGAATGGCTGTAATGGCTGGTGCTGAAGCTAAAGCCAGGCAGGAGCTTGGAACTTCTTGTGGGCCTGCCATGGGGGTGGTATGGACCCAAGTACATGGGTCATCACAGCACTTTCCCAGGCGCAGAAGCAGGAAGCTGGATGAGAAGCTGAGCAACTGGGACTTGAGCCTGGGTCCTTTCTGAACACCATTCTTTGGGCATTCCATCCAGAGAGATGACTTGTGTGCAAACAGCAATAGGTTCCAACTTCACAGGAGGCACAGCTGAAACCACCCCCCCCCCACCCCCAGGACTCCATACCCAAGCCGGCTCAGCCTGGCCCTTGGGGGACGATACCAGCCAGGTGTCCCAAGGGCTGGCCTGGGGCCTTAGCCTGGGTGTGCTGCTCTTGGGAACAACAGCAAACATGGAGATTTGCTCAGTAAGCCTGAATCCTCACCCTTGCCAAGTCTGGCCAAAAGAGCAAGCCTGACTCTGGCTGAAGATGCCAGCAGGTGCTTTTTGGTTTGGGGACACCGGATGCTGGCCAGTTGCTCTAGCCTGCTTCTCAGTCCAGACCCTGGGATGACGCTTTCCCTTGCTATGTCATCGCCAACAAGCAGCCTTTTTGCTGTCACCCATGGGGCTGACAGCCTAGACACCCGCTCATTCTCCAGCATCAGCCTGGCCTGGTCCCCTCCCCGCAAGCACAGAGTTTTGGATGCAGAAAGAAAAATCCTGTACAGGCACAAAGAAGAGAGCACAGCCTAGAAAACAAAGCCAGGGCGCCCGGCCTCAGGCCGGCTAGCTTCTGTAGCCGTGTGGCCAAGTCAGCAGGCGGTGCGCTGAGAGGCACAGCGTGAGAGTCCACACAAGTGGAGGTGTGGAAGGCTGCTAAGCAGGCTGCCTCCATGGAGGGAAGTGAGATTTGGTGGTTTTTAAGCTAAGTCACTTGCATGATCAGGATCACAGCTGAAGTTTGCAAAGAAAAGGCAAATTTTAGATGACACATTTTTATAGCATTTTCATGCCAACTTCACAGGCCAACCTTTTCCTGCCAAGGACTTAACTCAGGGTTTCTCAGCTGCAGCCCCACTGCAGGTTTGGGCTGGAGGGCTTCACCTTCTCCCTCTGGCTGCCATCCACTACGCAAACAGTCCTTTATGGATGGGCATTTAGCACAGCCCCAGTTTTTGACTAAAGACCTAGAGGTGAGCGTTCGTCCTGGTGGTTAAGACCTCTCTGCCCTGTGTTGGAGTGACGAGGTTCTATTCTGGGCTCCACCACTGGATTCCAGCTTCCTGCTGGTGTAGACCCTGGGAAGCAGCAGGGATGGCTCAAGGACCTGCGTGCTTGCCACCTGATGTGGTAGAATGGGACAGTTCCAGCTCCCAGCTTTGGCCAGGTTTACTCTTGGTTGTTGTTGGGCATTAGTAAAGTGAACCAGAAATAGGAGCATTTTCTCTCTCTCTCTCTCTCTCTCTCTCTCTCTCTCTCAATAGCCATAAAGACAGGAGAGGGGGAGGGAAACGAATTGAGATTTGTAATGATCACTCTTCCTGTTAAAAGCACCAGGTTAAGTTAGAACATCATTCCTTTTTCTTTTTAAACATGCAGCATGATAAACCCCATGTCATCAGGTCTGGGGCAGCGTGCTGCATGGGGGCTTCCTACACCAGCAGGCAGCCAATTTTGGTTTCTTCCACGTAATGGAATGTGAAAAACGCAACCGTTCACCCCCCTGACCGCAGCCACACCTAGCAATGGGGGCTCCCTTGTTTGCCAAAATAAACAAAGAAATAAATACTAAAGCTCTTGTGCCAATACCAGAGCGGCCGAGTCAACGCTGATGGACGTCAGACCAGGGCGGCAGGTGGGCAGCTGTGTTCTGCAGCCTCCCCTGAACCCTCAGGATCGAGGTGCATCAGTGTCTGCAACCCAGGCCAGGGGAAAGCCCCCATGGGGGCAGGCTCAGCTGCGCAGGGGGCAGAATCACCCCAGGGGCTGAGGTGCAGGGAGTTGTAACTCAGCACCAGGGTGAGCTGAAAATGGGTGGTCTCTGGCCCCCTTCAGCCCAAACAGGCAGCTGTCAGACCACACAGCTTCATCCCTTCTTAACCCTTTCTTCCACCTGAATCTCACAGGTGCTCCCGTTTCCTGCTCTCAGCAGCCTCTGGCCCCCATGGCCCCCTGGACACTTGGTTAACACTCCCATTCATCCACTGTGTTGCTTCTATATAAGGCGCGGGGGAGAGGCAACCCGAGAGGACCTAAGGCCAGGCAGACACCCCAGGGAGCGCTGAGCCGCCTTCGCCTACGAGGGTCCATGCAAAAGGCCACGGGGGCATGTTGGCAGACCCTCGTGACAGGTGCCTCTCACATCCTCCGCAGGGCATGCCCCTATCAGACAGTGACTCACTGAGTCACTGAGTCACCACTGCAGCCAAGAGACCATGCAGTCTCTAGTTCCCGCTGTGTGATGAGGACTCCCCAGTCTACACTGGTGGCAGGTGGCACCTGGAATAACCCTAGGTGCCCTCTGTTTTACTTTCCTGTGACCATGTGGGGATCCTCACAGCAGGATGCTACAGGCCACTGTCCTTTCACTCTTTTTCCCCCTGCAGACCCCTGCCTGGAGGCAGGATTCCAAACTTTCATGACAATGGAAATGGCCCACCTGTGGTTATGGAGTACTTGTTACAGAACTGGAGTCCTCATTTTA